CTCATGCTGACCTATTTCTAGTGCAATTAAGTGAATAAAAATGATTATCCAGTAAAGATAGCTATCTTATTTATTTTAGCATACTTTTGCTAAATTTGAAAAATTTTTAATTTTATATATAAAAATATATAAGATACAAAGGTAACTATTTCTAAAATCTAAGGAACCCATTTGAATGTGGAAAATGCCAAGCATTCCATATTGTCTCATGCTATTCTCTTGGCTATAGGGTATAAAACAAAGAACTTCCACTGCTTGAAGCCTTTTTAAAAGAAAGGATTTCTTAGGCTATTGCTAGCAAGAAAAAGACCAGGTCCTGAGGCATGAAGTCTAAACATCAGCAATGCTAGGTAGAAAAGACAAGCATGTCTGCTGACCTGGAATTGAAGGACTTTTTTATACATCAAGTATAGGGATGAAAGATGTAAATTGATTTGAAAGAATTTACATTGGCTACAGATAAGGTGGATGGGATAAGGTAAAGGGGGGCAGTCAGTTTTGGGATAGATGAAAACTCTGTAAGGAGGAAGTGTTTGCTACTTTGTATTGGTTGTGGAAAGTTCATGTGTAAGCAAGAAGCAGAGGCTCCTGAAGTGGGGCCTGGCTAGTCTCCTTTAGATCATTGTGGAAATAGCCACCTGGAAGTGAATTCAAAGTTCCAGCTATACTCAAGAATGTAAGCAGTCTTTTGTTGGTTTTGCCCTGCATTTCTTAACTGATTAATCCCTCTTGTCTCTTCCTTTTACCCTCAGATCTACTGTAATCTAATTTAGGATATCTCAGAATTTTCTCCTTGTCCAAGATACAGATCAGAATTATTTTAGGAGTCACCAGCTTAAGGTTTTTCTTTAGCCTTCTGAAGTGTGAGGTTTTTGACAGGGGTAAGGGTCAGGAGAATGTAAGTTGTTCTTTCCTCTTGCACATCAGGATATATGCAAAAGCTATCATCGTTTATTTCAAGTTCTCCCACTAATCAGGTTGTGCTGGGAACCCATCCCATTTCCTTATTTCTGTATTTGAAATCTTTCATTGTTTTTCTTACTAATATTTGTTTTTCTATTTTTTTCTCCTGTTCGAAGGTACAATCACTGGTTTGATGGAATGGCTTTGCTTCACCAGTTCAGGATGGAGAAGGGCACAGTGACATATAGGAGCAAGTTTCTACAGAGTGACACATATAAGGCCAACAGTGATCACAATCGAATTGTGATTTCGGAATTTGGCACACTGGCTCTCCCTGATCCATGCAGGAATGTTTTTGAACGTTTCATGTCAAAGTTTGAGCTGCCTGGTAAGCAGCCATTGATGTGCCCAGAATTCGTAGGTGATAGTGATACTTATTTAAATTGTTATGATATATAACAATGTATATAAATATTGAAATATATATATTTTTTTGGTATAAGAAGATGTTTAAACTGCTTTCTCACTCTGATTGTGGTTTTTAAATAACTGGTGTTTGGTTTCAGCAATGACCGACAACACCAATGTCAACTATGTGCGATATAAGGGTGATTACTACATTAGTACTGAGACCAACTTTATGAATAAAGTGGACATTGAAACCATGGAGAAAACAGAAAAGGTAAAATATAGGTTAAAAATCAATACAATAGATTCTAAATTTTTTTTTCAAAATACTTTTTAGAGTAGAAGATCTCTGAATAAGTAATTGGAGCCTTAACAAAACAAAAACAAAATTACTAACTGATTCAGGTCATTGTGTACCCTCTGTCCTGAGTAGAATGGCCTAAGGGGTTAGTTTTCCATAATTTGAGACTTCTTTTTCAGCCCTAGTATCTGAAGGCTAGGGTAAAGAACAAATATAATAGTACAGATTTACTTTGGCCAGCTCATGTTCTTCCTAGCTACAGGTAGAAATTGTCAAGACCCATACTGCCTTCACTTAACACATTAATTAAAATTTAAATAAAATTTTGGACCAGAGTTTTTAATTTTAATTCATATTCTTTTGAACTTTTCTGTGATCTTGTGCAAAAAAAATATTACCCTCATTAAATAATCATTTTTGTCCATTTTTTTGTTTTTTGGTGGTGGGGTTTTTGTTTTTATTTTTATTTTTTTGGTCTCAGTTTCTTTTCCTTTGGTAAGAAAAATGATTTTGATTTCTCAAAGGTACTATATTCAGTCTTAGATTATAGTTTTCAAATCTTATTTTAAAGATAATTGATACATTTCTACTGTCTATGCATCTAAATAGAGATATGCCCATGTACCATTTAAAAGTCTTTGATGGTCTTAAATTTGCAGGTAGACTGGAGCAAATTTATTGCTGTGAATGGAGCAACTGCACATCCTCATTATGACCCAGATGGAACAACATACAACATGGGGAACTCCTATGGGTTACATGGTAAAGTTGGGATGGAAGTCTTTTTAAAAATAATAGAGAGTTAACTATCTTCCTGGCGTTTTGTTATGGTTAAGATGCAAATGTATGAAACTTAATTTGAAATGTTCAGAAAGAAATCTCCGAAGTGGTATTACCAAACTTAAAGTATATAATTTATCATCATGTATGTCTGTGGTCCTTTTGCACATATGCTTAGCAGCTGATTTTCTGTTTGACCCTTTCAGCATCACTCACATTTTTATGTTCCGTTGTGCTTTTTGGCTCACAAACATGTATATATCTCTTAAACCTGAATTTTTAAGAAGTACCATATTGCAAGTATTAGAAATTTAGAATGCTGCAGCAAAGATCTAGGGGCAGTACATTATCACGTGGGAAGAAATTTATTTTTATCATGTGAGTAATGCACTACAAAGTAAGTTAAGGTTATAGTGCAGTTGCATTCACAACCACTCACATTGCATCTCTTTCCTGGTCATCCACGTACTTTCCTAGCTGCCTACCCATCTGCCTACCAATCAGAAAGTTCTGATAGCCAATAATGATAGTTAACATTTGTTCAGTGCCAAGCTGGTGTTAAGCATTTATGTATATGTCTTATACATATATATTTAATTATATATATTTTTATAAATATATAATTACATATATTTATTATATATTAATTATATATCTATTTATAAATATATATAATTATAATCCTTATAACACCTCTCTGAGAAAGCTACTATTAATACCTCATTACACAGACAAGGTTAGTGAACCTTGATAAGATTTAAGATACTTGCTTAGGCAAGCTTCTAAGTGTTTAAGACCAGACTTGGCACCAAGCCTGAATCATACCCAAAGGCTGCTATTAGTCACTCTGTTAGACCACTTTAATAATTATTATTCATCTCTGAGTATAGAAACCTCTCAGGACGTGCAAATTCGTGTTCCTATATCTGAGTACACATGTCTCTGTTTGAAAGGAATGTGTAAATGTAAGCATTAGATATTTCTGAGTATCTTAGCTGTCAATCAATCTTTCATCTATAACCTATGAAATTTTTTGTAGCTTTATGTATATAACTGTTGAGTCTTGGCTTCGTGGATTGTTCATTTCTACCTCTCTGTATTGTGAGTATATATGAAAATGAATACTGCAGGGTTATTTTTCATTGGCTCAAGTAGAGAGAGGGTACCCTGGAAACTTCATCACGTAGCTCTCTCTCCTCTTCTTTATTACCTAGGAATGTATTCTTCAAAGCTGTTATGGGAAACAACAAACATCCTTTTAGATAAAATGTTTCAGCAAATGGGTAAATTGACTCAGAAGTTTTTTGTTCATCTGTTTTGATCATTACAAAAATTCATTTCTCAATATTAACTCTGTTAAGCAAGTAGACAACTTTGTATCTAGTTCGTAATGAGGAATGCTGTTTAAGTATTCTGAATTACATATTCTAAAATAGTCATTAGGTCAGTGATTCTCAGCCTTTAGTGTGCCTAAGAATCATCAGGAATGCTTCCTAGCAATGTAGATTACTGTGTTTCATCTTCAGAGGTTGACCTGAAAAGGGGCCAAGAATTTAACTATTCCCTTACCCCTGGGGCCTTTAAATGAGGTTCCCAGGTGATTTTGGCCCAAGTGGCCCCTGGATCTTTAAAAAACCCTACCACTAATGATCAGAGACTGTGCTCGTTTCTTTGCCTTAATTTGCTGTTATAGAGTCCTGAAGAATCTCCCAGAGTTAGACTTATAGTATTGGGCAGGTCATTCCTCTGGGCATTCCTCTGTTGGGTGTTTCCTGGGCGTCTGTCTGCCAAGTTCATGCATTTAAGGCTTGCAGTTAGAACAGTTCTAACTGATACCATTTAAATTTAGTGAATTGAAAAATCATCAGTTATTCAGTTGCTGAAATAGGAATTTCTTCTCTTTAGTTTCTAATCTCAACTAAAACTGGAATTACTTCATTTTTCTTGTTTATTTGGTTCGGTGAAGAGTTTTTGAACTGGAACTCAAATGTACATGTAGCTGCAAGGAGCTCAACAACCTAGGATGCATTTTGGGGAAAATTTAGTGATTCTCCTTATAATGAAGTGTTTGCTAGCAATTTTTAACTTTAGTAATAAAAGGCTTTTAATTGTTTTAGCTTTTCCAGATATTTTAAAAAGACTTTTTAAAATTAACAAAAATCTTCTAAAACATTAATCAATCCAACTAGTTTTTAGTGCTAATGTAAAATATGTAATCTGTAAGATAGTGATATAGTGTTCTTGTAACTATGGAGCTTGTTTTTTAATTCTTTTGTGACTCATCACTGTGTAAAGCATGATGTTTTATATATTATGGGCTCTCAAAAACACATCTGTACCCCAACCTAGACCTCCCAAATATTTTATATCTAATCGTTTACTCACTGTTTTTATTAGGATATCTAATAGGCATTACAAAATTAACTTGTCTGAAAACAAACTCCTGATCTTTCTCCCTAAACTTTTTCTGCTTAAAATATTTCTTACCTCAGTTGATGGTAACTCCATCTTTCTAGTTGCTCAAGATGATAACTTTGGAATCATCCTTCACACCCCTCTCTCACATCCACATCCAATTGGTCAAAAAGTAATTTCAACAATTCCTTCAAAATATATCCAAAATCCAACCACCTCATATCACCTCCACTGCCACAACTCTGGTCTGAGCCACCATCTCTCGCATTTGAATTATTGTAGTAGCTTCTTAACTAGTCTCCTTGCTTCTGCTCTTGACCCACTTATGTTGATTCTCAGCGTATCAGGCAGTTATCTTTTTTACTCACCTCACCTCATCTGCTAGACTTTTCTCTTTGCTCACTATGACAGGGCCACACTGGCCTTTTTGCTATTATATACTTGAACATTCTGAACTTACTCTTGGCTGAGAATTTTTGCATTTGTTCTTTTCTCCTTCTGGAATTCATTTCTCCCAGATATTCTTAAGACTCTGAGATTCTTAGCTCCTTCAGGTCTTTTCTTAAATGTCTCTTCTTAGTGAAGCCTTTCCAGACTACCCATATTTAAAATTGCAAATAATAGCCCCTATTTTTATATACTTACCTCTGATCCCCATTCCCTGGTTTATTTTCCATTACTGTTCATATCATCATCTGATGCATTATGTTTTTCTTTATTATATGATGTATTAGAATTTGAGCTTTATAAAAGAAGAGCCTTTTGTCTATTTTGTACGCTGTTCTAGAATATGGTACTTATGACATTTGGGAGAGTGCGTGGAATATAGTTGGTACTTAATAAGTAGTTATTGAATAAATGAGTAGAGAACTTTTGTTCCAAAAGAAGCTTAGTGATTGCAAAATTCTATAAGTTACCCAAGTTCTTCAGGACCTACATTGGCAATTCTAATATCAGGAAGATAATTCAATATGACCTCAATATTTGTTTATTTATTGGATAATTTAACAAACGTGTTGGTAGTGAATCTATCAATAGTTATTTATAGTGTACCTACTAAATGCTAAGTCCTTGTTTGGTACTAAGGATGCAAAGATGAATCATATAAATTTACTCTTGAAAAGCTCTACTTGTTTATCTGCTTCTCAGTCGACTATAATTATAATTATAATTATACTCATTATAATTACAGTATAATGAGATAAATGTTATGTCTGTATAGAAGATAATCAGGACATATAAGAGGGACACCAAATACTTTCGGGGTGGGGAAGACTCAGAGAAGGCTACTTGACGAGTGGATGGATGCCTGAGTTGGTTCTTAAGTAATAACAGTAAATGATTGCATGAATGAATGTTGATGAGATAGGATGAGATGGGACCCAAAGCAACTCCAGGGACTAAAAGGACCAAAGGGAAGGATACAAATGGATTGTAGTTGTTGGGGCTAGGGAGTGGGGAGAGGAACAAATATAGTTCGAGGATATTCCTGACTGCTACCCTATCTTTTCCTATGAAATAGGAATTGAGTTTATCTTCAAGGAGTGAGAGAATAACCATTCAAGAGCATTAAAATATAATAAACTGTTGGTTGATTACTTTGTATGTGTTTCAAAACTTTAACCAATGACTTTCATGAATGAAGTTCATATATTTTTAATATTCTAGTCTATTTGAAATAACTCTTCATGAAATATGGATGTCATGCATACTGCATAAATCTCTAAACTACTTTTGCTTAGTCTACAAATGGAAGGGTTATCTAGTATTCTTAGAATATGTGTAAAACAAGACAGAACTTTTCATTTTTCAGGTTCTTGCTATAATGTTATTCGGGTTCCTCCAGAGAAGGTGGACCTTGGGGATACAATCCATGGAGCCCAGGTGATATGTTCTATTGCTTCTGCAGAGAGGATGAAACCTTCTTACTACCATAGCTTTGGTGAGCCCAGAGATGAGGCAAATTGTGGTGAGGCCGGCCTTAATGTTACTATAGCAGAGGGACTAGCTTTGACAAGTACTGTTAATACAGTTTATCAGAGTGTTGTGATAATGATACCAAAGTTGCATTTTAATGCCAGTTAAGTTTATTCTAGTTAGTCATATACTTCTTACCCTAAGCCAACTGACTGCTTGAAAAGATATAGTTATTTTAGTATAAGCAATTACTAAAAAATTGTCAGTATCAATAGTGAACTGTAACGTAAACTGTGGACTTGGGGTTATTATGATGTGTCAGAGTAGGTTCATGAGTTCTAAGAAGTACCACTCTGGTGGGGAATGTGGACAATGCAGAGACCATGCATGTTTGAGGACAGGAGGTATATGGGAAATCTCTGTACTTCCCCCTCAATTTAATTGTGAACCTAAAATTGTTCTACAAAGGTAAAGTCTTAATTAACAAAATCATTTGACCATAAACAATTAATTGACAGGATTTAAAATTTTAGGTAACTTTAAAGACCACAAATAATCATATGTGAAAAAATTTTGACTAAATTTTTTTTGGGAAACTCACATTCTACATAGATTTCTTCAGCTTTTTCCTTAGAATACTTATCTTCTGCATTCTAAATCTTGATAGCCAGTCTGCTCCTAGATCCATACCCCCAGTATAAATAGCAAAAGAATTAAGAAATAAAGGTTCAGATCAAAATCATACTTTAATATTATGCTTCTTTACTTCCTAAATCAAAATGATTTTAAAGAAAAAGAAAAAGATAAAGAGCAAGTTGAAGGCATTCGACCTAAGCTGTTCTAAGCAGTTCCCTTTTTTGTGTAGGAACAGGAAATATGTATAACAAAGCTGGGAAACAGTGGAGAATTATTTTTGGCTGGTCTTTGTTTAGGTCAGCAATAATACATGCAAGCATTCAGACACGTCGCCCTAACTATCACATTTCAAACAATTCTAGTTTACCAAATAATATTGTATTCTTTGCTGGAACCTTTTAGGAATGACAAAGAACTACATAATCTTCATTGAACAGCCTCTAAAGATGAATCTGTGGAAAATGGTCACTTCTAAAATTCGGGGAAAGGCCTTTTCAGATGCAATAAGCTGGGAACCGCAGTATAATACACAGTTTCATATCGTGGATAAGCACACTGGACAGGTGGAATATTCTGAGTATATTTATCATGAAAATGATTGGGAACAAAGGCAAACTTCCATATGGTTGATTTTTACCTTCACTGGGCAGTACTTATATGACTCTTAATCAAGGATATTACCTTCTTCCATGGTGGGGCTAGCTAGTTATTAATTAATATGGTAGATTTTTCATATTAGAAAATTATAGGAAATGGCTTTGTCCTTTTAATTATCTGATTCAATTAAAATGACATCTAGAAACCCTCTTAGTATGGTTTTTTTCCATATAATATTTGCAAAAATGATGTTCATGCAGAGATCTTCTGTAACTTTTGCAATGATACTTTAATTAGTTTCTTCTACAATATCTTGATATGTAAATATGATAATCCTACTAAAGTCCAAAGCTCATTGGTAAATACCTTTCTATACTCCTGATTAATAACGCTATTGTATTTGTCTACTTTTTACCTCTCTAAAAGATAGTATCCTAAATTTACCGTACCATATTATTACAAAAATTCCACTTTAATAATGAGTGTATTTTTCAAAGAATTAGTCACTTAAATTTATCATAAGTTAGTTAATGACACTATTTTCTATTTAACCATATAGAGTACAGCAATTATTTATCTTTCAAAACATTGGACCATATTTCATAAGGAATTTTTAAGTTAGCTGTAACAGTTGATAAATCTATATCAAATAGCTCAGATTGTTGATTAGTATGAGATGAGATGACTTAAGCAAGCAAAACTTAAATCGAAGCATATTTGCTGTTTATTCTAAATTTTACTTTTGGCATCTACCAGGCCTGTCATGTAATAGGGGGAAATCTTAATTTGAGCTTGGTGGATCTGTTCCCTAAAGGAAAAAAATAAAATAAAATGTCTCTTTTCATTGTTTTATTTTCTCCTGCAGCTTCTTCCAGGGATGTACTACAGTAAACCTTTTGTTACTTTTCATCAAATCAATGCCTTTGAGGATCAGGGCTGTGTTGTAATTGATTTGTGCTGTCAAGATAATGGAAGAAGCCTAGAAGTTTACCAACTACAGAATCTTAGGAAAGCTGGCGAAGGGCTTGATCAGGTAAATATCTTTGATTGTCAGGAGCTGTCAAAATAATTTTGAACTAACCGAGTTCTGGCTTTGGCTTTGAATTAGAGGATTCTCTTGCCTCTTTGGCAAAGGAGGGAGAATGGTTTTAAAGCATTGAAGACACAATTTTGTCACTTATTTATTTAATACTTAAAAATAATTTGAAGTACTTATTAATACTTTTATAAATAAAAAGCATGTTAAAAAAAAGCTAAAAGGTGTATTTTGAAGCGCTTGTGATTAGTCGCTTATTACACTTGAGAACTAAATGTACTTAAATTTACTGGAAGGGATAGCAAAATTCTTAATTCTTTGATAAAGAAAGTGTATCAGTTTATCTAGTTGAAGGATTTCACTTTTTTCTGATATTGAACCCAAGGTAAAAATTTTCCTTGGATTATACAATGTAAATTATTTTTAGCTATTGTTTTATTTTTAAAACTTTTTAAAACATTGCTTTTTAAAGTTTGCTTATAATTACTAAGCTTATATATGCTATTATAACTATATGGTAAGTCTCGATATCTGCAGTATCAGCCTTTTAGCTAATTTTTTTTTTTTAAGATTACCTGGGTTTTTATTGGCCTTTTTTCATTTCCATAAATTGTAGAATCAACTTGTCAATTTTTGCAAAGAAAATAAACTTTATTGAGATCATGTTGCAACTATGGATCAATTTGAAGGTAATTGATATCCTAACAATAGTGAGAAATACTGGGTCCTCCCATGAACGTGGACTATCTTTCCATTTATTTAAGTTTTTAAAAATTTCTCTCAGTAATGTTTATAGTTTTCAGTATAGGAATGTTACATATCTCTTGTTAAATGTATCCCTAGGCATTTACAGTGTTTTGAAATTATCGTTAATGACATCTTTTAAACTTTAATTTTCTGTTTTGCTGGTATTTAGAAATATAATTGATTTTGTATACTGATCTTATATTTAGAGATCATGCTAAATTCACTTTTTAGTTGAAAGAGTTGATTCATAGATTATTTTGGATTTTCTATACATACAATCATGTTATCTGAAAATAATTACAAGTTTTTTTTCTTTCCAATATTTATGCCTTATATTTATTTTTCCTGTCTTATTGTACTAGCTCAGACCTCAGTTTGAAAGGAAGTGTTGATAGCAGTAATAATTTTCCTCATTCTATGTGGAAAATGTTTACTAAGTCACCATTAAGTATGACATTGCTGCAGGTATTTTTGTAGATATCTTTATCAGATTATCTTAACAGTGCCTTTCGATAAACAGACCTGGTCCAATATGTCAGTTTCTTCCTTTATGAGTAAAACATTGTGTATCTTTATTTTATTTTATTTATTTACTTTTTAAAATTTATTTTTATTTTATTTTATTTTATTTTTAAGTTTATTGGGGTAACATTGGTTAATACAATTACATAATTTTCAGGTGTATATTATAATTTGACATCTATATATTCTATTGTGTGATTACCACCCAGAGTCCAGTTTCCTTCAGCTACCATATATTTGATCCCCTTTACCCACTTTACCCTCCCCCTACCCACCTATATTTGACTCCCTTTAACCCGTCTACCTCCCCCTTTCTCCCTCACTTCCTACCCTCTGGTAACCACTAGTCTATTGTCCATGTCCATGAGTCTCTGTTTGTTTGTCCTGTTCATTTGTTGCTTTTAGGTTTATATCCCCCATATAAGTGATATCATGTGGTTTTCAACCTTGAAAACTCATATCTGAAAAGATATTTGCACACTGATGTCCTGTACCTTGCATTGACATTGGGACATTGACCAATTTCCTTTTTTTGGTAGCTCCCCCTACTGTTAAGACTGAGTTGCTGATTCTGCTGTTACTACTGTATTTCCTTGTCTTGGTCACTTTCTTTGGCTAGACCATGTACCCTTGGCGAAGGGAGTGCAGGGCTTGAGGAGAAGGGAAGTATATATCCATCACAGGCAAGAGTGGAATGTACACAAAGAGATCATCATGTATATTTCATTCTTTGGATATTTTCTTTTGTGAATGTTGTTGGTTGAGTTGTATACCACTGCAAAAGATGTATTAGTTTTCTGTTGTATAATGAACTACTACAGATTTAGCAT